TCAGATTATCCCTGTCCAGCCAGAGCCCCAACACAGGATCACAACTACTACTTTAGAGTCTTGCATAATTCCAGCATCTGTGTCACCTTGCATTGACACGTTTCCTTTTGCCACACATCATTTCTCCAGATTTTCCTGGTCTTTGATATGCAGTAGAATTTTGGAGAGTGTCCTTGGTATTTGGCATTTGATATTAGGCTATGTGTCTTTTGGTATCACTAGAAGAATGCCGGTTTGCTGCAGTTCTGATTCTATTTTGAATATTTCTGCCAGGTGAGGCCCAAACGCCAAAATCTGTTTTACCACTTTTGGATGATTTGTCCATTTTTAGCTTAGTGGACCCAAAAGGGAAAGAAAGCTGCTGTGTTAGTGTTGTATAAGTTTTTAGAGTCAAACTGTGGCTCCTGCCAACTACAACAAAGCAGGCTCTGCAATCCTTTGACCAAAAGACAGTTAAAGAGACAAATTACAGTGGAAAGAAGACAGTGGAGATTTACTTAATGTGGGTACACTGAGAAGGACAAAACACCCAATAAAGTGTCCAATGGCCCCCAAGTCCATCCTCAAGCTACTACCATCAGGCTGGGATAGCCACACAGGGCAATAGGAATGCTAATTAACCATTTCTGGTCAAAATATGAGGTGGTTCAGTAAATTCTACAAGGTTCTTGAATTGGTTTTCTGGGAGACAAGCTCCTCTTCTGCCTAGCACCAGGGCTGCAGCCTTTCCTAATGCTGAGAACAGATTCTTACTGAAATTCCTTGTGTATTGTTTCAGTGGGCTGATATCCATAGGGCAGAGGCAAACTGTCTTTCTTCAGCACATCCGCTCTCCTGCTAGGTTGATTACATGACCTTGACTCTTTCTCTTCCTCCCTCTCTCTTCCTCCCTCCCTCCCTCCCTCCCTCCCTGCCTCTCTCTCTCTCTCTCTCTCTCTCTCCCCCTCTCTCCCCCTCCCCCACACCCACACACACACACACACACACAAACAAACAATCACACACTGCTCTGAAGCTGTAGTCTGAGACTTAGCTGGAGGTTTATGTCATAGTCATATTCAGAATCTTTTCAATGATGTTGCTTTGGGCCTATCCTGGGCATATGCAATTTAAGATTAACCTTGAAAATCAAACGTATTCATGGAGAGTATCTGAAGATCCGGTTGTTAAGGTTATTCAACTCCAAACAGCTCCCTCTTCATGTTCTGTGGACTACAGAATCCCGTTTACCCATCTTAAGCCCAGAAGGGTCCGGAATCTCTTGCATGCTTCATCACTCATGCAAGTAAAAGGCAAGTCCATGAGTGGGAATTATCCAGCTATGAGGGGGCACACAGCTTTCCAGGAAGACTCACTTTCTCTTTACCAGGTAGCAACTGTTTTTGGAGAGCTAGTCTTTCTCAGACTGTGAGAGGAATATACGAAAAGACATCAGTAGCACAAGGAGACAAGGACCTTCATTTACAGAGTCCTTTGAAGAACAGGGCATACACACTCTCTGGTAGTCTCTGGACACTTCTTGTTGGAGTAGCAGGCTCCATCCTCTTTAGCTGGTATTTGCAAAGACAAATAGAAGAACGTCTTGTTTTTCTTAAAGAGATCTTCATAGCTTCAGGAAATGTGTTTAGTGTGATGCTTTGATGTATAAAAGTCCACACGAGCCACTCCACCTCCACATTCAAATTAGGATATAAGGCTATCAGTTTCTACTCCAGCACCATGCCTGCCTGTATGCCTGCTATCATGATCCCGACCATGATGATATTAGACTAACCCACTGAAATTGTAAGCAGGACCTAAATTAAATGTGTTCACTGAGAAATTTTCTCAGTCATGGTGTCTCCTCACTTCTTCAGGACTAAGCCTTCCTGCGTGCTATCATGATCCTAACCATGCTGATCCCAAGCATATTGGACTAACCCTCTGAAACTGTAAGCAAGCCCCCAATTAAACATTTTCTCTCAGAAATTGCCTCCGACATGGTGTCTCCTTACAGCAATAGAATACTAAGAAACTGTGCAATATACATATTTAAGTACACAAACAAATAACAGTACATCAATTAATTAGTAGTGATGGTTCCACATGACATAGTGTTGCTAACTACTCTGTGTATTCCTGACATTAATTTCACAAATTCACAAGCTACAACCATACAATACATTATTAAGACACACAGAATTAGAAGACAAAAATATACAAAATATAAAAAATGTCATTTATCTCAATCTGTTCCTTGAGGGCCATTATGGAAATCCAAAATTCTGGTTTGCACTATTATTTTCCCCAGTCTTTCAAAAGTTTTCCAAGGCAGATATTCTGCTACATTTTTTGCTAACTACTTTTTATTAAAATTAGAAACAAGCTTGTTTTACATGTCAATCACAGTTCTTTCTCCCTCCACTCCTCCCCTGCCCCAGTAACTCTATCCCATCCCCCTTATGCTCCCCAGGGAGGGTGAGGCCTTCGATGGGGATCTTCAAAGTTCGTCATGTCATTTGGAGCAGGGCCTAGGCCCTCCACTGTGTGTCTAGTTTTTTTTCTTTTCTTTTCTTTTTCAAGTTTAAAATCCTACATTTACTCCTCAGTGGCAGAATTCCAGGATGTTTAACTGTAAATAGTTTGGGTTGTATTCTCTCTCTCAATGAGCATTTCGAACAGTACAGTCCACCCTGTTGCACTGCATGGACTCCTGTGAGAAAACTAAAGTCACGCAAACACTGGCCCAGGTCAGTGCAGCTCGCTTGACTCAGACATGGAGGAGAGGGGAAAATGTAGCAAATCTGATGGTCTCCACAGCTGTGGGGGCAGAGACCTGTCAAGGTATCATGGCTGATTCTCTGGGGGAGAGATTATTGTCCTGGACTGTGCTCTTCAATAGTCTTTTTCTGCTTACTTTTCTTGCTCTGGCTACAGTGTTCTCCTGTGATTTCCTTGTGATGTGACTTCTGCAGACTGTTGATTACTTAGATGAGTCTGGGTAGCTTGAAGTGACTGACACGGGCAGAATACCCATTCTCCAGCTAGGATTAGGTTATGACAAAATGTTTTCTGTGCAGGGTATATCTTTATTTGGGAGAAGGCTCTGAGGGCATTTGACATCAAGTTTTTCTTTTCTATTGGCCACGAAATGTAAGACCTCTTAGGGGACACAGAGTCCCAGGGGGGGAGTGTAGAAATGGAGCAGATCAAAGCTCTAAGATTCAGTAACATCAAATCCACCGAATCCTAAATTAATTTTTAACTTGGAGTTCAGATTGATAACATTGGCAGATGTAAACTTGTTGAAACCCTTTTGCATCACTATCTATGATCTCTGAAGCTCCCATGAGCAAATGGTTTGGAACTGATATAAAAAACTGCATGTAGAAACACAACATCGTCTGAGGAAGGGACTCTTCATCCAAGAAAGCAGCATTTCTGTAGCAGAACATAAACAAACCTGTCAGAAGGAAAAATCCCAAGCACTGGCTCAGGTCAGTCCAGCTCATTTGACTCACAAAACAGAGACTAGGTGCCTTTCCTGGAATTTGAGATTTTAAACAGGCAATAAGCTCCCTAGGTTCTGTAGAGTTTCTACACATTTAGTACAATTTTGGCATTTGCCCTAGCATTTCTTTTACTAAAGTGAGGCATAAGAAGAACAGTGCACACATGTGAAAGCAAAATCATCTGTATTTAGCAAAGCGACCACACGCTTGTAGGTGTACAAGCCAAAGCCATCTGTGTGCTCATCACAACAACCATTATATTGAAAATGACTGGCACTGTTCAAAGCTGTACTACTCTCTATCTGTTCATTCACTCTGAGTGTCACCTCACTAGTATTTTGGTCATCATACAGGTCTCGTTTTTAAAAGACAAGGACACAGGATTCTACTCCATCTTGTATTTTGCAAGGGAACACTGCTAGGTTTGAGAATGTGTGTTTTATGTGAGTCCTGTTTGCAGTGGGTGCTTTTCAGGCAGAGTGTATCAGAAGTGAGTAAACACCCCCACCTCTCAGCAACTCTGGTGTGATGGAATTGTGGTTACCATCCAGAACTAAGCCCTCGTTAACATGCTGGGAGATGGAAAAGGCCCAAAATGCTCAAGTGAATTGAAGGACAAAGAGTTGTGCTTAGCAGCAGAATGAAAATCCCTCCCATTTTTCAGATACCCGATAATACATAGGATACATTCTGAAAACTCATGCTCAGTTTAAAGACGAATCAGTTCAATAATTCCACAGCAGAGGGGTCCCTTAGATTTCTGTGCCTCCTTCCCCAAATCCTGTCTCTCCCTACAACTCGAGTCCTTGAGCTAAAGCAAGAAGTCCTCTCTGAACATGTTGGTACCTCCTCCACTCTGCACTCTGTACAATAGCCTCTTTGAGAAGAATGCCCAGGGCCACTACTTTTCAAAACATTGTAATTTAGCATCGTTATCTCTCACTTTTGCTGAGACACAGCAAAATACAGATAACCCATGATGCTTTCTAAACAAAATGGTCACAAACCCAAGGGAAAATGAGAATAGCAATCAGTGGTTAAGAATGTGATCTACATTTACGGTCTAATATAAAGAGGTTTCCAGGTACCTACTACAAATCTCAGGGCTTGAAACTCAGGATGTCAATACGGGAGAGACATACAGACACACAGACACACAGAGACGGAGAGGGAGGGAGGGAAAGGGACAGACAGAGACATAGGTAAATAGTCACACACACACACACACACACACACACACACACACACACAGAGAGAGAAAGAGAGAGAGAGAGAGAGAGAGAGAGAGAGAGCTCCAGAATAGTAAGAATGAGTGTCTCAGTGTTCAACACCGTGGTCACATGATTCTAATCAAGGCAACAATGTATCAAAGAAGGAGGGCTGGGCTATTCACTCCCCTCCACTCCATCTCCTGCAATTCTGCTCTTGTGCCTTAGACACAGAAGTCTGTACAGGGCTGTGGTCGCAGGAGCTCTTCTCTCTGCCTGTGTCCAGAACCAATCTGCTGTCATGAGCAGCAACTCACCCCCGGCATGCATGGAAACTGACAGCAAGAGGTTCAAAAGAAATAGCAGGAGAACTGAGGGCCCATCGAAAGTGATCCACATCCACAGGATGCCAAACAGTGTCACCGAAAGAGAAGTTCTCTGTCTGGCGCTGCCATTCGGGAAGGTGTCCAACCTAATGTTACTAAAGGGGAAGAACCAGGCCCTCATGGAGATGAGCACGGAGGAGAACGCCAACGCCATGGTCAACTACTACACCTGGGTGACTCCTGTGCTGCGTGGGCAGCCTATCCACATCCAGTTCTCCCACTACAAGGAGCTCAAGGTGAGCAGACCCCGCAGCCAGGTGGGTGCCTCTAGTCAGGGCAGTGCCTCCAGCCAGGCCAGTGCCTCCAGCCAGGCAGGTGCCTTCAGCCAGTTGGGTGACCCCAGCCAGTTGGGTGTCCAGCTAGGCCAGGCAGATACCTCCATTCAGGTGGGTGCCCAGACAGGCCTGCCAGCTTCTGAGACCTCAGACCAGGCAGGAAATGTGGCCTCAGCCACCCCTGCCGCTGTTGTGGACACAGGGACTGCAGTGGCCAGGCAGAGCCCTGTGCTCAGGATCCTTGTGGAGAACTACTTCTATCAAGTGACCTTGGAAGTGCTACACCAGCTCTTCTCCAGGTTTGGCACGGTACTGAAAATCATCATATACTCTAAGAACAGCCGGTTCCAGGTGCTGTTACAGTATGCTCACCCGCTGAGTGCCCAGCGTGCCAAGCTGTTCTTGGATGGGCAGAACATCTACGATGCCTGCTGCACACTGCGCATTGCCTTCTCTGGGCTCACTGACCTCACAGTCAAGTACAACAATGAAAAGAGCCGTGACTACACGCGCCCAGACCTGCCCTCAGGTGACAGCCAGCCCTTGCCAGCCCAGAAAATGACCACAGCCTTCGGTGCACCTGTCGTGATCGCAGCTTCTCCACATGCAAGCCCTGGAGTACCTCACACCTTTGCATTTTCTCAAGTGGCAGCAGGCCTTGCCATGCCAGAAGTGTGCAAGGCGCTGGCTCCCCTGGCCGTACCAGAAGTGGTTGTGGCAGCGGCCGCAGCTGCAGCAGAGAGCACAGTCGTCACCTCAGGCTCCCCAGGTGGGGCGAACGCTGTCCTTCTGGTTGCCAACCTCAACCCCGAGAAAGTCACACCCCAAAGTCTCTTTATTCTGTTTGGTGCCTATGGCAATGTGCAGCGGGTGAAGATCCTGTACAATAGGAAGGAGAATGCGCTCGTACAGATGGCAGACGGGTGCCAGGCTGAGCTGGCCTTGAAGCACCTGAATGGGCACAAGCTGCATGGCAAGTCTCTGTGCATCATGCCATCGAAGCACCTGAGCGTGAAGCTGCCCCGGGAGGGCAAGGAGGACCAGGGCCTCACCAAGGACTATGTCAACTCCCCTCTGCACCGCTTTAAGAAGCCCGGATCCAAGAACTTCCAGAACATCTTTCCGCCCTCTGCCACCCTGCACCTCTCCAACCTCCCCACCTCGGTCTTGGAGGAAGACCTCAAGAAACTCTTCTCCAGCAGTGGGGGTTCTGTCAAGGCTTTCAAGTTCTTCCCAAAGGACCACAAGATGGCGCTGATCCGGATGGGTTCTGTAGAGGAGGCCATACAGGCCCTGGTCGACCTGCATGGACACCTCCTAGGCCAGAACCACCACCTGCGAGTCTCCTTCTCCAGGATCACCATCTAGAGGACCCTGCTGGGCTCACTGCAGACAGCTTCCTACACTAGACAAAAAGACACTTTAAAAGCCACTGGACTGACCTTGCCAGAGCCGAGATTGGTTATTGTTTTGAGAGAGAGAGAGAGAGAGAGAGAGAGAGAGAGAGAGAGAGAGAGAAAGAAAACTGAGTGTGGGGGGAACCAAACATGGTAACATTATGGGTTGACCGCTGTGTTCTCATTCGGCTTTTAGATTAGTCAAAAGTTCCCTATAGGAGGGACATTCCAGCACAGAATAACATCTCCACAGCACACAGGGTCAGAACCACATTTGAAGAGGACCAACTGTGGCCACCTTGCTGGCAGAGGCAGGCCCCAAGCAGCCCTCTTTTCCTTAGGAAGGGCAGGGCGCTGCCCCGTGGAGATTCAGACACTTGGCCACAGCAGGTTCTCTGTAGTTTACATCTGGATCTTTCCCAGCCTAGAGACCAGTCTGCCCCCCACCCGGGCTACTGTTGTGGTTTGGAGGTGAAGTGGCCTCCAGGGACTCATGTGTTTGGACTCCCGGTCACCAGCTGGTGGCATTCGTTGAGAAGGCTGTGGAACCTTTAGGAGGTAGGGCCTTCGTGGAGAAGGTGAGTCCCCTGGAAGGGTCTTGAGGCTTTGGAGCCGGCCCCACTTCCTGAGTTTGCTCTGCTGCTTCCTGAGTACAGGTGAGATGCCAACAGCCAGCCTCCTGCTCTTGTTCCTGCTCCTCTTCCTGCCACCATTTCTTCTTCGCCAAGGTGGGATGTACCCTCCCCCTTCCTCCTTTATGGTTGGGTATTTGTTCTTAAGGAGTGAGAGAAGTACCCAGGGCAGAATGAGATGTGGAGGCCATTGCAATGCCAAACCCAGCCATGTAGCGTGCAGGGCTTCGAGATGGTCTGGGGGAGGAATATAGAAGAGTTTGCAACTTTGCATTGGAAAGGGCCTAGAATGCTCAAGGAAGATCTTCCCTGGCCATTCTGGTGGGAGTTTGGAAGGTCAGGATGCCGAGAGAAATCCAGGCAGGCGAGGCCCTGCTCGTGAAGTTTTGGAGGGGAGTAAGACTCCTCTGGGACCTGGGCTGGAAGCCATTTGTGCTAAGACCCCAGCCACATATTGCTTGTGTCCTGAGAAGTGGAGTCAGAAATTCAAAGTCATAGGCTACTTAGTTTGTCGGAGAAGCTTAGGGACAGGATAGTTTTCAGGTTGTGTCAAGGTTACTGCTCAATGCTCTCAAACAGGTCTGCAGGGACAGAGAGCAATGAGTGGAGCAGATAGGGGTGAAAACTGTGCAGATTGTCAGGGAAAGAAAAGAGTTCAAAGCTACAGACCAAGCATGGCTGTCTTTGTCAGAGGAATTAGCCCCAATACAGGGAAGCATTGTGGTCTATGCTGGCACAGTAACAAAGGTACCAGGAGGGCAAGGCCCCGTGCCCATTGAAGGCCCCTGACCTGTAAAAGTGAAAATGGGTGGAAAAGGAGAGGCATGGATTAGAACACCACTGCGCGTGTCTCCTGCTGAAAGAGACCACCGCAGAGAGCCATTTTCTCTGTCTGAACCACCAAGGTGGACAGAGAGCACTACTGCTTTGGTCTCAGGGGACCATATGACATCTCAAACTGGTGTGGCAGCACACCCCACCTGGCTTTGCAAGCAGGCCAAACTGCAAGGTTAGAGGATGACAGCTTTGGGTCAAGGGTCCATGAATCCACAGAAACTAGGCAAAGTGTGGCAGGGTCATATCCCCACAAGGAGGCCCGGGGGCTGGTGCTGCAAGGCTGTGGACACAAAGCCTAATTTGCCACAGAGACCCCAGGATGTGGGTGATGCGGAGATAATGTGTGGATGCAGAGTGGAGCAAGCACAACAGAGGGGCTACATGGGCCCCAGTTGGATGTGGGGGTGGGGGAGGGCAGCTACACCAGACCTTTGAAACCAAGATGGTTCCTACAGGAGCCACAGATAAGTGACAAGAAGAGGCAGCATTTCCTGTCCTGGTTTGGTATGAGCTTTCTTTGCTGAGTCCCCATGTTTACTCTGTGCCATTGTGTGTTAGAAGTATATAAACATGTTTTTGATTTTACAGGGGCTCTCAGAAGAGACTCATACTGTTGATCACTATTGGAACTGTTAAAGACCATGGGTGCCTTTGAAATTGAAATGGGTATTGTTTGTATTTTGAAGTGGCCATGAGCCTGTAGGGGCCACAGAATGCAGGGGTTGGAATGTATAGGCTTGTGTGTTGAAACGCTTGTCCCTTGGCCCCTGGTGCCATTTTGGAAGGCTGTAGATCCCTTTGGAGCTGGAATGTGTCTAGAAGAAGCGAGTCAGCGGGTTTGGGTCTTGTGGTTCCATAGGCCAGGCCAACTGCTTTTCCTCTCTCTTCTCCTCAACTGCAATGCAGAGTGATCGGCCATCTCACACAACTGCCACCACACCTTCCCTGCTCCAGTCCACTGTATCCCCTCAGACAGCAAAGACAATAAACCTTTCTTGCTTTAAACCGATTCTTGCGAGTATTTGATCACAGCAGCGACAGGAAAAACTGGTTAGGCTACACACTCACGTTAACCACCTGATCTGGTTAACTGTGAGGCTGGGCTCTCCTCCAGGTGAACTTGCACTCCTGCTTGAGGACTTAGGACAGTGGTTCTCAGCCTGTGGGCCACGACCCCGGGGGGGGTGGAATGGACCTTTCATGGGGGTCATCTAAGACCATCAGAAAACACAGACATTTACATTACAGTTCATAACAGTAGCAAAAACACAGTTAAGAAGTACCGATGAAAATCATTTTGTGGTTTGGAGTCACCACAGCATGAGGAACTATATTAAAGGGTCACAGCATTAGGAAGGTTGAGAACCTCTGTCTTAGGGAACTGGGAAATGCAGCAGAGTCTCAGAGAGACAGCTTAAGCTTTCAAATGCTATTATGTCAGCAATCGTTCCTCAAACTGCTTGTCGCTGCCCAGGTGAAAATAAGCGACAAGAACAGTGTCAGGCTTATCACTGTCAAGTTAAAGGTGAACCAGTGGTAGGGGCCCCAGATGACACAATGATGAAGACCAAATAGATGAGAGTAAATACTACCAGCTGTGCCTCCCTGACCCAACATTAACAAAAGCTAAAAGGTAAGTTCATGGTAATAAATGAGGTGAGCTATCTCCTGTCTTTCTGGACCGCACACGACAGCCTTTAGCCGATTGCATAGTTGACCTGACAATAACAGAGGGAGGTTAATTATTTGCTTCTCTGGTGGCCCAAGGAAGTGGAGCAGATTTTTGCATTTGAGGCTCAGGTGTTCCTAGGCAGAATGAAGAGTTCATGCCCCATATTAATAAATGCCCCAAGGGATAAATAAAGCTTTGGAGTACCTTCTCTCCTGGTGCCTCCAGCTTTGACACTCCAGGGTGGGTTTTTCTACTTGGGCTTTGTTAGATTAAAGCTCATTTATCCCTTCCTGTGCTCTCTGCCCCGTTCTTTCGGAAGGTGGAAGGCAATGCTGATTTTAGGCAACTTTACTCAATGACCAGGTATGATCCTGCAGATCTCCTGTAATCAGATATGGGTGCAGGGGCTCAGATAACTACTGATGCATTCACAGGGGCACGATACCCTGGCCCACTTGGTAGCCTGAGGCGCTCTCCTTCTCTCTCTTCCTCTCCATCTCCCCATGCCCCCTGCCCCCTCCACCTGGATGCCTATGCCTCTCCAGGTCCCAAATGTTTTAATTTTCCCTTCCCCCTCTCCGTGTGTTTTCTTTACACCAGGTCTCCACCTGCTTCCTCACCCACTCGTTCCCTTGCAAGGGGCTCCTCTGATGGCACCTTCTGACACCTAGGCTCTTGTAGTTTGACTTCTGTTGCTGTCATAAAACAACCTGACCAGAAGCAACTTGGGGAGGAAAGGGTTTGTTTGGCTTGTACATCCTGAGCAATCCATCATTGAGGGAAACCAAGGCAGGAACTTCACGTTCCCCGAGGTAGGAACTGAAGCAATTGCTGTGGAGGAATGCTGCCTGATGACTTGTTGCTCCTGGCTAATTGACCTTGCTCACACTCCAGGACCACCTGCCCAGGGATGGCACCACCTCCAGTGGACTGCGGCCTTCCACACCAATCATTAATGAAGAAAATGCCCCCACAGACCTGCCTACAGACCAGTCTGATGGAGACATTTTCTCAGTTGAGCTTCCCTCTTCTCAGCTGACTCTAGCTTGTGTCAAGTGCCCACAATACTAACTGACAGAGCTTCTTTCTAGAAGACTCCATTTCCTGGCCTCACCTCACTAAAAGCCATTTGAGCTTGCTGCCTGCCCCCTCTCCCTAGGCCTCTGCCGTTCTGGTTCATTCTCTCTCCTCATCCCCAGGATCCTCTTACCCCTAGAGCCACTCAGCTAACACTGGGGAGAACTCCTTCACCCATGTCTTCCTCATGCCCTGTGGCTCTGCTGAGGCCCTCTGCTGCTAGCTATCCTACTTAGGAACAGCCCCATAACTGAGTCTTCTTCAGGCCCTGACCCCTGCTGAGGTTGTGTTACACTCTCTGAGCATGCCAGCCTGGCACTTGACCTCCTTTTTTCCATCTCCCTTCCCAGCCAGCTCTGAGAGACCTTCCCCTGCTTGTCTGCCCGCCAGCATTTGGACTCACTGGCTGTGGCTGATTTGGGGGATACAGGCTTTCCCTGCTCTTCTCGTCTTTGTCCATGACCATTCTAGCCACTTCCCCATTTTGGTGTGGTTTTATGTTTGTTTGTTTGTCTGTCTGTTTGTTTTTGACTATAGCTGAAAGTCTTGCCTATGCAAGTTTTGGTCAGTAATATTTTATTTCTGATGAAATTAATATTTGTGTGTATCATCTTATAGAGCTCAAATGCCTTTGTACTGACTTTTTGTAGTATGTTTGCTGATTACCAAATCATTAAATATAGTCTTTCTGCCTATAGGCTTGATACATGGCTTCTTAACTTTACCCTATATACTTGTCCCACTAGACATCTATGTTAGTGACATGGCTAGATACAAAGTTATAATTGGGATGCTATAATTTTGTCAAAATAGACAAGTAG